AACTCTGTTGATACCCTGTGTTAAAGAATACTCCCTGCTGAATACACCACATCACATGCTCATTAAATCACTTTTTCAAAATTATAGAAAGACATTAGGTGTATTTAAAAAAACTGGTATCAAATGGCCTGGAAAAGAAATGGGATGAATGGAATTATTTAAGAAGAGACTTGTCTGGTAATCCCAAAAATGCTTTTCAAAAGGCAAGTGGACTTTCTTGGTTTTTCCTTGAAAATATTTAGCTTCTCCTCCAAGAAGTTTCAGTTCTCTTCTTCACTCCTTCAGCTTCTTGGAAGAGAAGTGAAATGTTTTCAAGGAAAAAAAAACAAGGAAGTCCAGTTGCCTTTTGAAAAATATTTTTGGAACAACCATGACCTGGATGATTGAATATCTCCATAGAGATACTCCATACTTGTCTGATAAAAAAACCATTTCCGTTAATGCTACTAAAGAACATCTTTTGGAGAAGAAAAATAATAATGCTTTTGATCATAAGAATATGATAAGAACATTTTAACCCTGAGCTACAAATATTCTCCTTTATTGGTATCACAGGAATATAGCAGAATGATTTCATTATCAAGCCCCCAAGCTCTGAAGAGAGTATTATTCCAAAAGTTATATTTGAGGTTTATTAAGATTATTAAAATATTAAGAAAACAAAAATTGATCTGTGAATATACAGTTTATAATCATGAAGAGTTGTATTTTCCTTGTTTCATGTCAAACTTTATGGAAATCATTGTAGTAATTCTATGTACATACATAACTTTGGTTTTAAGTCAGGCATATGATTATATTTCTGCCTTTAACTCATCAGTTGGGTTCATAGGGAAATTGCTTCATGAAGCAATATACAGCAGTTAAAACTCATCAGAACTGAAGATTGTGGCAGAAAATAAAAACAGGAGGTGAATTTCAGGAACTAAATGGAGGAAGGCACTTCAGAAAACACAAGTGGTTCATGGGAAGAAGCCGTACCAAGTTGTGTCTTATATTATCCATCAAGGAATCATAGCAAGGCCAGGCTCTTAAAGCACTATATTCATGTCATTGATAAAATTCAGTGGGCTCTGTATTTGGTAAAGCTGATTTGCAACTCTGGAATCATGTTCATTCCATAATAACAACAAATTATTAACAGCTGTGCCTTGATTAGGAGCCTTTTGGTTGGGTTCATATAATTAGTGTCAAAATCAATTTATTTGTGTATTGCATTTTTCATAAACAGATTGAGTTTGAAGGTTGTTCAGGTACAAATACCACTATGCATCAAACAGATTACTTTAATGTAATTACTGTCCAGTTAAAAGCATATCAATTTTAAATAATCACAAGACAAATCAGTAGACCAGTTAAATATTTCCAATAGAATAGCAACATTATACTCAAAAAACAAATCATTCAACTCTTTACATGTTGAGCTTTTCTGCTAAAGAAGTTAGGGAACCATGGAGTGCTTAGTTAACTCTCAATTTGCATACCATCTCCATGAGACAACCTCCCCAATCTTAATGATGATAAAGTTTTCTGTAATTGAAAACATGCAGTTTCCCCCAGTCAAGCACACCTCTTGTAGGTTTCTTGCAAGTTATATTGTTCCCAGTCCTTGAGGGCAATACAACCAAGAAATGAGGTCCATGCTAACTCTGAGATTCAATTTTTTGTCCAAGAAGTTTATTTTTCTGTGAATACAGCAAAGGGCTATACTCAAACCCCCATTTCAAACCTTTCAAAGATTAGCTTCAAATAACTGGACCAGGTTCCACAGGCTTTGTGCAGTTTTGTTCTTCTATACAACCATATTGTTCTTATTACAATTATCTTATGTATTAACAGCTGGATCATGCACGTGTAAATGAGATAGAAATTAACTCCTTTTTTTAGAGGAGATAAGCATTAACTGTATAGTGATATATTATATATAGTACTCCCTGATTTACCAAATCATTTTTCAATAGACATATTTTGTGAACAGTTGAAGAAGGGAGATGAATAATGAATGGTTATCCACAGAGAACCTCATATCTAAAGATTATAAATCAAACTGTTTTGCTTTACATCTCAAAGAAAGTATTTCAGTATAAGCAATTTTCAAACACAAGTATACAGACTGCCTGAAAATCCAAGAGTTTTGAGCTTTCATTATGAATACAGAAAGGAATAATTTATCCATCAGCTGGAGCTGGAATTGGCTGATCAATTCCTGACACCTATCAATTGTCAATAAGTGCTTGGTGTTGTTTTAGGCTCATAGAAACACCATTATTTTTAATCACTTGGTTTGATGCTTTGACTCATATGAGTTTTGTAATTCTATTGCTAGTATCTTACTTCCTTGCAGTAGCACTGGCATTTTCCTTTGAATGAAATCTACTGATGATATTTGGGGTTAGAGCAAAACCTGCTTTTTCTCATTCAGATTAGTTCAGCTGACTCAGTGCAAACAATAACTTGTCCTGAAAAGTTTGCCTCTCAAAATCCAGTGATTCTGTAGACCAGGTATGTCAAACTTGCGATGTCACATGACATTGTGCAACATATCGTGATTTTTTTCCCCCCATTGCCGGTAATGGGGTAGGCGCAGTTTCAGTATGATGCATCTGGCCCACGGGCCGGCAATTTGACATGCCTGCTGTAGACTGTTACAGAAATTTGTAACAGATGTAATACAGGTAGTCCTCAACTTACAACCATTTGTTTAGTGCCTGCTCAAAGTTACAATGTCCGTGAAAAAAATATTTACAACTCTTTTTCATACTTATGACCATTGCAGGATCCCATGACTATGTGATCAAAATATGGGCACTTGGTAATTGGCAGGTATTTATGACATGCACGGTCCTAGGATCGTGTGATACATTTGTAATCTTCCCAGCTGATTTCCAACAAGCAAAGTCAATGGGAGAAGCGGGACTTGCCCCATTAAGTGAATGAACAGCATAATTCATTTAATAACTGCAGTGATTCGCTTAACAACTGTAGCAAAAAACATCGTAAAATGGGGCAAAACTCACTTCACTGCCTTGCTTAGCAATTGAAATTTTGGGCTCAGTTGTGGTTCTAAGTCGAAGATTATCTATAGCTATTCAGTGCTAAAGATGTACAAACTAAACAAATGGAAGTGAAGCAAAACCTTGAATGTTTTACGGATGACATCTGTAAGATCAGAGAGTAAGAGGTGACTGACAAGATGCTTACATTCTACACAAATATTTCCTAAAATATAAAATTGATCTTGATAAGCATATCCCGAATGTGTGCAGTTATATTTCCTGTCTCCCAACTGTTATAAGGCTAATGAATATTAGTGATTAGTATTTACATTTGTGTTAACTTTTTGTTTGTATACGTAGCTGCTCCTAAAGTTACATAATGCAGCAATATAAAAAAAATGTGCATAAGAATTGAATGGTAACATATTTTTGTGGTTTAGTTCAATATTGCTTATATTCAAAACACTAAATGCTACAGATTGAAAAATAATTTTTAATTAAGGCTACATGCTTTAAAATCCTGAGGTTGCCATAATAAAAATTTAGGAGACTTTATTAAATCTGAATTGACCACATTGCTTTCCATGAAATGTTTATATTGGGTCATGAATATAGGACACAGTTGCAGTGCATGCCCGAGGTTGTAATGGATAGCTGACTTAAGGGGTGTCCCCCATAATCCTTATTCTTGTACTCTCATCCACTCATATGGAGAGCTTGTTTTGTAGTTGGGCTGCTACTCTTTTACAGAGAAAATTCCTTTGTGTACATTTATTCAATAACAAAAGAGTGAAAACTTGCTCTCTGTTTTCTTCCCATTTTATAGCTAGCAGAGTGGCTGGATTTATAAGCTTAGTCAAAAAAGTCAAGATGGCAGCAGAATCATGGGGTCATTCCTGAATAAACTAAAAAATTGGAAGCTAAATTCCCAATTGAATACAAAGTGTTTTTTTTTTTCTAAATTTAGAACTCAGGTCAGATTTGAAGAAAATAGGAGAAAATATTCTCATTCCTGCAAGCTTTAACTCATAATCGTCCAGGACGAAATACACATACACATGCTAGTGACAAAACAAAATAAGTCTAAGAAAAGAAAGAAGCTGTTCAGATCGCACAATAAGATAAATTAAAAATATGATTCTACTTTGCATTTACCTCCACATTTCCCCAAATGAATATTTCCTTCTGATTTTCCAACCATCTGCTGGGTTGGGATTTTTTTTTTCTTACCTACCTGGTAAGTCCCACCATCTTTCAGAAAGAAAGACTAAACAAATAAGGTAACTGATTTGTTGTTGTTGTTGTTGTTGTTGTTGTTATTTTGTCATTTTTAAAAACTCACCAGAGAAGGAAGAGTCCTAATCCTCATTGGTTATTCAGAGTTTGAACAGAGTTAATAGTCTCTGTACACTGTCTAAAATAGATTTAGACAGTGTATTTGAATTTTTGGGACTATTTGCTCTCCACACATGACATAAATCTATTGGCCAATGTTATACCAAAAAACGGATTAAAGTTCTATTGCTAAGAGCAACATTTTTTAAATAGAACCGTTCAGGAGCATCTAAAAACTCTTGGAATGTTTCCATTGGAAATGGGAAAACTTGGAACTTTGTTGAAAGGCCAACATTCAAAATGGTGTTGTTTTAAATGCCAGTCCTGCACATTTGCCACTACAATACCAATGTAATATTTTTATAATGTCTTTGTACATAACAGGATTGGTCTGAACTTTTTTTTCCTGATATGCTTATCTTAAATGCATCTATTCCATTCGTTTTAAAATGTATTATGCTTTTGGCTACTGTACTTTCTCTAAAGAGGTTATTGAAAATCCAGCTTTGAGCAGCTGATTCCAGAATGTGGAACACATGGCTATTTTCACTCATTATTGGATGGATTTCTGCAGGCATGTTATTTTAAAATAATTTATTTTTAGTGTAATGTTTTTGGTTTGGAACCTTTTCTCATTTTTTTTTCCCCTGCACTTTTATTTTTAACAAGCTTCTGCTGGGTATGGCAGGCTCCACGGATGAAACTCTTCAGGAAGCAGCAGCTGGTTGCATAGCAAACATCCGCAGGCTGGCTCTGGCTGCAGAGAAAGCAAAGTATGGCTGAAACTCGAAGCAGCTTTTATCAGGCCCTGTAAGCTTTTTCTGTCTAATGTACTATGCTAGCTCAGATTGATGGGCAAAGGATAATCGAGAACGTCTCAGAAATATATATTTTCAGTTATTTGTTTTAGTGTGGCATACCTAATCAAAAATAAATCGATGCAAAAGTGAAATATAAAGTAAAAAAAGTGCATGATATTTTAGCATTTTCCCGTATTACTGTATTTTAAAAATTATTCATATTTTATTGCTTCCACTGGATATATTTGACATAGCCCAAATACATCACTATATGTCCAAAAGCATTGTAAATCTAATAATGCTGCCTTTCTTCTTGTTTGGAACGTATTTCCTTTCATTGTATGTGGCTGTACAATTTTTTGTTAATGTATTGAGCTAAGTCTGTCTAATCGTTCCATTATTATGATTTTCCTTAGTTAAGTACTAACAAATCTCAAGAGCACTACATTCATATATGCCAGTTTCACATCTGAAACTATACAAGGACTTTAACACATGGACATGCTCCCAACGTTCCCTCAAATACCCGTATTTTAGTATTTTAATACTATCTGTACCGACAAGGTCAATTAATTTGATTAGAAATACATAGTGATCCAAATACAAGTTTAACTCTTAAAACTCACAATTAGATATATTAAACCAATTTAAAACAAATAGGCATTTTCTACTTCATTACACTATCTCTGGCCATGTCCTGTTTTTAGCTTATGGTACTGCTACACTGCAAATCCATGCTAGATTCTGATAATCAATTTTAGAATCATGGCTTTTCCCAAAGAATGTTGGAAATTACAATTTGCAAAAGGTGTGTACAAATTATTGTTCCATGTTTCTAGATTCTTTCAAATTTCCAAGATCCCTTATGGGCTTTCTACCAGATTCGGTCTGTGATATAGCCATGCCCATAATTAACTTCCTTATGGAAGTAGTTGCTACTGATGCAATTTCTGTTGACTAGCTTTTTCTCTACATCGTATGTAGGAAAATTTATAAATATCACTCTATGTTAGCAATTCTTCCCTAAAGACTTTAGCCTTATTAAATATGTAAGGTGGCTAGTTATTTTCAAGTATTAGTTTCCTTTTCAATTGCAATAAATACCTTTTCTTTATCAACCTTGTCAAACCATTGAAAGCCTAACTTTTTAATATCTGCTGTATAAAGATTTGTATCAAGTCATATAGTTTAAGTATTTGGAATAAGATGAGTAAGTTTTGCAAAACCAAATACAGTAATAAACTGGCCTTTACTGGCTGTTAGACTGATTTATTCTCAAGCCGTATATCAGCCTTCTCTAAGATCATGCCCTCCAGATGTCTTAGGCCTGTAGCTCCTAGCTTCTGGGCACACTGCCTGAGAATTTTTGAGTGTTGTGGTCTAAATATATCCCAAATACATTGCAATGGTCAAAGCTGATGTGTAGATTATAATCCTTATAAAGTATACATTAAAGGAAATAATTACCCAAATATTTAAATTTTATAGGCTCCTATAAAGTTTTCCTTTTGCTATAGCAATCCTGAGGCCCAAAGCAACCTATATTGAAATATCTGACACTGTTTTAAAAAAAAATGCTACCTGATCAAGAGGCAATTTGGAACATGTGTGTCAATGGAAGGTTGGCAATATTTTATTTTACACTTGGAGCTCAAGCTTTCAAAATGCATTTAATATCTTTTCCAATTTGGTCATGGTCAGTTTCTCAATGACTATAAATCAGCTACCCTCCTGTAGATGTCAAAAACATTAAACTGCATTTTCATTAAAAATGCTCATGGGGAAAATGCCTTTACGCAATCATTCTGCAAGGGAAATGCTATACTCCAGGAAGAAAGCTGAGAGAGAGAGAACTTGCCTTTCTTTGAACTGAAAATAAAAAGTTTTCCCTGCAAATGTCTGTCAGCAGACAAAAAAGGCTTTCTTTATCATTTCCTGAATGTATGATTTATTGCCTGATGATAGACATTTATTATCAACTAATCAATTGTCCCAGGATGCTCAACTAGGCACTGAAATGTGAGCTTTATATTCATTTCCTGCTAAGGTTCAAGTGAATGAAAATATATGTTACTGGTCACTTACATTGTTTTAGACCCCCCCCCCCAGCAATCTTACTTGTTAAGCAGAGCCCGAATGTCCATGTGTAACAATGTATAGGTTTACAGGCACTAAACTGAATTTAATGAACTATATTTTTATTTTTTAAAACATTTGGTTTTGCCGTTTCCTGATTACATAATATAATGGGCTACTAAGATCGTATATTTTGCTTGCTTGCTTATTTATTTGTTTGTTTGTTTCCTGCCTTTATTATTTTTACAATAACTCAAGGTCATGAACATGGCCTATGCAACTTCTTCCTTCTGTTTTCCCCAGAACAACAACCCTATAAGATGGGTTAGGCTGAGACAGAGTGACCAGCCCAAAGCCACCCAGCTGGCTTTGAGTTCACAATCATCTGCTTTCTAGTCTGATACAGTACCTTAATCACTAGACCAGACTGGCTCTTTTATATTGCTGATTTTTCCATGCTGAACATTGTGTAATAACTCATTGCTTAATGATTTCTTCACTTATGGATAAACACGGACTGTGCTTATAGAGCTACTGGGTTCCACGTGAGATGGGAAGGCTGAGCTGTTTGCTGTGGGATAGCCAGATCCAACAGGAGGGGGGTTCATCTGTGGAGGCACTTCTGGGTGTTCTCCTAGAGCAGACAGGCTATCCTGGTTTTAGAATTATTTCCCCAGGGAAACTTTTCTGGCACCCAAATAAGGTGAGGCCCTTTTTCTGCTCCTTATTACCCTTGATGTTGTTCTTGTATTTTGAACCGCAGAAGTTGTGGGATACCAATCTCTAAGAAGAAAAAAGAACAAGGTTTCATTTGAAAGAGCGGCCGCTTAAACACCATCAAAAACCAAAAAAAAAAGGCTTAACAAGGGTTCTTTTTTTTTCTTTTACAACAAAAATACAAACTTGGCTGTCCTACTTAATTATTCCTTTGGGATAAACCAGTGTTTTTAAACTTGGCAACTTTAAGATATGTGAACTTCAACTCCCAGAATTCCCCAGCCAGCATGCCATAAGACGGATGGATACATGGAGAATATGGATGAGATACATGGAGAAAGCAAAATAGAAAACGCTTTTTCTATTCCTGGCTTATTATCTGCCCACTGATCCATAGGTTTTCCCTATGCTTTCGTCTAATCCCCTTTTGCATCCATTTCAAAATGTTGCATTCATTGCTTCCAGCAATTGAATGCCCCCTGATATCCCATTCCCTAGCCAATGCATCCAGCCTTCGGTTTAATCTTTCCTGGATCCCGAAAGTGCTCTGTCAGCATTAATCCAATACGCTTCTCTCTTTCCTTTACTTTTAAATAACAAAGTGACAGTCATACATTGCCCATAGCTGAGGTATACTGAGACCTCTCTACATCAGTACTTTGATACTGATTTTACAGATTTGAAAGCAGAACTTTTCCCTAACTCCAAGGCCTGGCTTCCTTGTCTGTCAGCTCCTCAGCTTTTCAGCATGCTCCCTGGGACACAGGAACAGTAGATGGAGTAAGAGATTGAATAGCTCAGCCAGCCCAGCAGGCTCTAGAGTTTTGATGACCTCCCACTTACCTTTAAGGGGCCAAATCCTAGGTTAGTCTCACTCCACCAAAACAAAAACATTCCCTCTTCTGGAACTAAGCCATGGGAAATTTTTGGCCCAAATGTAGCAGGCAACTGGGAACCATTTCTGTTGCTGTTACTGTTGTGCTATGTATATAAATATTCAGAATCATATTTTACTACTTTGGCTCAGCTATAATGTTCACTGCTACTCAGCAGTTTTGCTATTATCAAGATGCTGATGTGAGTAAACTCACAAAGCAACTGGCTCCTCTTAGTAGGTAAACCTTAACAAGATTTGGAGTTGTCTTTTAATATACAGTCTCCAACTTTAGAAAATTTACAGAAAACATACCTATCTCAGGGACTGGGCAATCGTGCTTTGCATTAGTATTTGTTTTTATTCTATTTTTTGCTTGGTGCCTCTGATAGCCAGTTCTTGGCCAGCTCCTGCTGGTTATGAGATGCTTAATATTTTTTTAACCAAGTCTATAGTCAATTGTGTTTAGAACCACAAATTTGCTTCTTCTCCAAAGGGCTCATACTCCCCACCCACCCCTACAGTATCAGATTGCTTGATGCTGGGTTGATATTAGCCAGGCATGGCGAAGGCACTCAGAGGAAGCATAATTGGGCAGCAGGGAGCAAATCTGGAAGGCTATTTTGAGGGGGGGGAGGTAAAATCAAGGCAATTCAATGGCTACATGGGAAAGTTGTCTTGTAAGCAACAGTTGAAAATCAAACTCTTTTGCATGAAAAAAAATGGGGTGCGGTAAAACACACTCCTTTGCATCAAATGGCATGGGCTTGATCTATACATTAGGAAAAAGCTACTGCCTTAGTGGCTTGTAGCAATACACAAATAGTGTAATTCAACTTTTCCTTTGCCATACTAGCTGAGGATGGTCGACATCACAGTCTGTATGTTTATTTATTTATTAAACATATTTGCTGCCCATCTCATTTCAAATTACTGTGGGCAGATTACAGTATATTAAACATTAAAAAACATTAATATCATCAATATATGATGAAAAACAGACAAAATGTTTGAAGGACATCGAGTTGAAAAAAGTTGCAGTAGTTTCTTCTCCTTTCTGCCTTCTTTAACCTTTGCTCTTTTAACATAGTTTATCCTCTTACATTTTTAAGGCTTCAGTTTGAATGTTAGGGCCACACAGAGCTTTGGTTCAATTCCATAAAAGTATTTTGTGAGCATAAAAGGTATGAACAGCTGTTCTCTGTAGCTCTTCTCCAATGGCAGCTGTGGAAAGCAGCTGCACAATCCCAGACAAAACACAACTGCTTTAAAGAGTTGTAGATATGTGCTACTTTTGGCACAAGATGCTTTCCAAAGCATCCTTTTTTCATCAAATCCAAAGCACTGCACAGCCCTATCAGATACTGTGATTTGGATCCTGACATCTTTACATGGCAAGCATTACAGAGAAGACACATTACTGCATGTTGGCCATACACAATAAATTGTATACTGTGTTTACAATGCAAATTAGTGTCTTGTGTCAGTGATGATTGTTATGAGAAAAGTAGCAGCAGCTGAAACAAAAAACCAACATTCATTTTATTATTTATGTTTTTAACTTGAGTGTATGACATAAGCAGCCTAAGAAAGCAATTGTGGAAGGAAGTTGAAAGAGGTCAGGCGGCCGAGCTGCTGTTCAAGAATGCAGATTTCTTTGTGGAGGTAATTAAGCTTCTAGTAGAGGCCAATGCATTTATATGCTCAGTGGAGTTGCATATATTTATAGTTTTAGCTTCTCATTCATCCATGCCACTATGCCAATCTTCAGTTTTTGACAAAGTCTGATAAATATATTTACAGCCAGCCAAAATACAGGTTTAAAAATCAAGGTTGGATGATGTTCCATAGCTGTCTGCAAATTTTCTACATCCTCTCTCCCCCATTTGAGATAAAGATGAAAAAAAGGTTTGCCAAAATAGTTCTCTCACTTTAAACCCAATCTCCATGGTGAGCTATCAAGTTTTATGTCACTAAATAAGCACACAAATAAGTCAGTCCCCCCAGGAAACAGCTATCACTGAAAATGGTAAGTAAAAAAGAATAATTGCACCCAGGGGACACATTGGAGAGAGTGCCATGTGAGTGAAGCAGATATCACAGTATTGGGATAAAAGATGGGTCCAAGGTACAAATCCTAGCCTGCTACTTGCTTATGCATGATTAACAATTCTCGTTTTAATTCAACAAATGAACCACTTTTTAGCTGCAGTGAAATAATTCCTCTGAAAAAATGTTGCTCATATATTAAATGGACCCTCAGGCTGCCCCTGCGCCTTCTGCTTCTAATAGAAAAAATAGTATCCAACAGAGAATGTATTCATTGTCTGGTGCAATCAGCCCAAGTGTTCCTTCCTTATGAGATCCCTAAATTCTTATGTGACACTGTTTCTGTTTTAATCCTCAATGAACAATTCTCTTTTGTGTTCCTCTCATCCTGTTTGGGAAAACAAACATGAGAGGGAAGGAAAATGGTGTTTGTGTATATTCTTTCTTGGTATTTGCATAGGAATGGAGCCTCAAACACTTAAGTAATTTCGAGAAAATCTGATGAATGGGTCAGCCCTCTTGCTGTGAAGAATTTTAAGAACAGTTTTGATAACTTGGGATTATTTATGGTTATGTTTTAATTCAACCTTCAGACAAACACACTCAAATCCTAGGGGGTGCACCATCAAGGATAAGGCAAGAAATTTGATATCTTGGTTTTGAATTTAAATTCAGCACTTTGCTTGTGGCTGTTGTGTCAACAGAGGAATGAATGCAGTTCAAAAAAGGGTAAAAAGGATGTGAGAATCACATGAATAGCTTTTCATATCCCTTGTTTCAGGCCACATGGGAGTATTCTCAGGGTCACCTCTTTACTAGAGTGAACTATAAAAATTATACACATCTACTATATGCTTGAAGTGCACACTTCCTTTTAAAATGTTTAGCAACATATGTAGTACAAGACTTTTGATGCTCACTGAGAACTTTGTCTGGGAAATAAAAGAAAACTTTGCCAAAGAAGGTAATGACAAACGTTCCCAAGACAGAGCCAAGAAAACTGCATAGATGCAATGACTAACCCCTGAACTCAACTTGAGACTGTCCTCTTTACTTTTAGAGTGCCATCCAAAACACTTTGGATCCTTCTTTCCATCTATAAGGTTGCTTTCCATCTATAAGGTTCAAATGCAATTCAGATGCTGGTTGCATCATCTGCATTGCATTTGAATTACTCAGAGGCTGCTGGGAAGAGCTGCTGGCTGTAAGTTCAGGGGGACTGAGACAAAGTCCAGTGGAGCAAGGTAGTGGCCTGCGTGCCATTAGGGTATAACCTATAACTAAAAATCTACAACAGCAGTACTTCAGAATAAGTGCCTCTGTGATAGCAATTTTATTTTATTTCAGAATGTCTGGCTTAGTTCAGTGCAATACTTGTTTTGCAGCTGTCTTTCGCAGTACTCTTCAAATTTGGATACTGTTTTATTTGTAAACAAATTACTAGTCTACGAGGACAGATTGCTTATTTAGAGTCCCTAGTCTGTGCTCTTCAGGCAGAAATCAGGTGTCCAACTCAGCCACTCGGTTCTATTGAGCTGCCTCACTATAAGCCCTCTCTACCACAAAGAGCCTGCAAGAGAAAGACAGCGAGGACAGGGTGAGAGCTGTGAACCACAACACGAAGCTTTCGCCGTGTCTCTGCATAACAGATAGAGTGCCCTTGCTGACCTTAATAGATATATTAAGGTGGCAGGTCAAGATAGTTGTAATGATGATAATTCAAATGAGCAAGGGATTGTGGTCTAAGACTGAAGAACTTGTTTTGGATGAGGGAAAGTGTGAATCAGGTATTACACATCAGTCATGTAAGAGGAGAAAGGTATCCAAAAAGAGAAGTCACCTTCTGGTTGGTGATTCAATTATAAGGGATGTAAATTTAGGAAAGGACACAGAGGTTTTGAAAGAGGTCAGGTGTCTTCCAGATGCTACTGCCAGTAGGGACAAGAAGTACATTTTTTAAGATAGTCAGGAATGCCAGCAAAGGAGTGTGATGTGGATGCTATTGTACATCTTGGTACAAATGATCTGTCCCAAAAAGATGTACTCTCTGTGAAGAATGATTTCTAGAGCTTGGGGCAGGAACTTAGCAAAATAGGCTGTAGGCTTACTTTTTCAGACGTTTTACCAAAAATGGAAAAGGTCAGTGAATAGCAGAATTCAATATGTGGCTAAGTATAAAAGGAAAAGCTTTGGTTATATTGACCATGATGTCTGCAGCTGGTCCAATGAAAAACTGTACAAAAGAGATGGTTTGCATCCATCAAAGAAAGGGACTGAGTTACTTGGCATTAAGTTCACAATTTTTCTGGAGAAATATTTAAACTGAACAGTAAGTTAATTCATGTAGAACATTCCTGTCCCTGGCAATCTAAAACTAATAGAGTTATCAGTGCATGTAATATAAATGTGTGTGCGGATAAGAATATCCACCTTGCTGTGAAGCAAAATTAAGCTTTAATGGTGAGTGCCATATCAAGTGCACTAATCAAACAGGTGGTAAGGAAGTAGAGAAACACAGGCAACATATGTTATGTAGAAAGTAAGCACAGGGTCAGTCATAAAGGACTCAAATGTCTATACACCAATGCACAGAGTATGATAAACAGGGTGAATTAGAAATTAGAAATTCAGGTAAATGAGGGCAGATACGATATTGTTGCCATTATGAAAACTTGGTGGGATGAAACCTGTTGAGTCCTTGGCGGGAAGCAGACACGAGAAGCAGTTGAAGTTCTCAGTTTCCTTTATTCAGCGTTCAGCTTACAAGTAGATGGCTTCAGCAGCTCCCAAAACCTCCCAGCTTCTTATATAGACGCTTCCCGGGTAAATGTGATACTTTTCCCGCGCCAGCACCCGCGCATGCGCACGGCGCTGGCGACAGCCTGTCTGGTCCCGGGCAGCTTTGCACCTGCCCGGGACTGCCTGCAAACGCCCGAGCCGTTTGCAAGGCTCGGGACATAACACCCCTTTCCCCCGGGCTAAAACTACTACCAACATATAATCATTTATTTTATGCAGTGTTCTGCTTCTCAGTGCTCCTATCGTTACCTGGCTTTTGTTTAGCCATCAATGTTATGTAATCCTCTAAGTATTTAGGAGACTTCTTTGCTCTCTGTGACCTTCTCAGCTCTGGGTTACTAGCATGAGTTCCCTGACTGGAGGGAGATGTGAGCCTGTTCTCCTTATTTTGCCTTGGTGCCTTCCAAGGACTGTGCCCCAATGCCTGGCCTGCTTGCTTGCCCACTGGGCTCGTCAGGCCAGGGCTTCTGTCACTTTGTGACCTGGTTGACCTGCCTAGCTGTAGACCCTCGGGCCCCTTGAAGTGATAGCCACTGCTGGGCGTCTCTGTTGAACCTCCTAGGTCCGTCCAAGACCTGTCAGGAGGCTGACCATTCCCTGAACCCCGTTCTGTGTCCGGGCTTGTGTGGGTTTCTGTACTTTCCCAAAACTCAGTTACTCCCTGATTTGGGCTAGAGGTGTTGTAGTCGGGACTTGGTTCCTCGACCACCTCCCTGTATGTTTGACCCCCTGTAGAATTTGGGGTAAGGTCAGGCCAACCTTGGGGATTGTGTGCCAGCTCTCTTGCGGGGAATGATTTGTTGGGATGCCCCCGGGTATCCTCCATGACTGGAGTGCTGTGTGATGTGTGTGGAAAGTGAGTATGCCCCCGGGGTGACTCCCTGGCTGGAGTAGGCGTGGATGCCTGGTAGTTAGGTAGGCTCATAGAATTCTTGTTCGGAGCTCTCGCGGAACCCTGGGATGGGCCGTTTGTGGCTCCATCAGTGGAGATGGGCAGCAGCTTGTGCCCTTCCCTTTGCTCCAAAGGGTCCCCCTCCCCCCCTGGAAAAGACCCAGGAGTCTCATCTGAAAAGTCCCGCCTAGGGCGGAGTTGGTCGATGTGCCGACGCAGGACACGACCGTTGTCCAGGGCAACCTCGTAGGAGAGAGGACCTGTGACCCTGGAAATAGAAGCGGGGACCCAGGTATGACCAGGCCCGTAATTGCGAGCCCAAACCGGGGCACCCACAAGTAGTTGTCTAGGTGCCCTAGGATGTGAGGTAGATGAAGGCAGTCTGTCCGGATGCAACCGGTCAAGTTTAGTAGTAAGTTGACGCCCCCAGCGAAGTTCAGCTGGGCTTCTCCCTGTAGAAGTGGACGGTGTGGTGCGATAAGAAAGGAGAAAGTCAGCCAACCTGTGATGCCAGTCCCCGTAGGTGAGTCTTTTCAAGGCGTCCTTTGTGATGCGCACCATACGTTCAGCCATACCGTTGGTGGACGGGTGGAAGGGTGCAGACATGGCATGACGAATCATGTTAGCCTGTAAGAAAGCTTGGAATTCGGAGGAAGTGAATTGAGGGCCGTTGTCAGACACGATGACATCTGGAAGCCCGTGTGCAGCAAAAATCCCCCTCAGTACCTGAATAGTCTTTGCAGTGGTGGTGGAAGAGACAGGTACAACCTCAAGCCATTTTGAATGGCTGTCAACAAGGACCAAGAAGAACTGGCCCTGAAAGGGCCCAGCGTAGTCAATGTGCACCCTAGACCATGGGGACTGCGTTTCCTCCCATTTATGCACGGGAGCTTGGGCATCTCTGGGCGAGATCGTTGGCACAGGTGGCATGCATGCACCTTAGCCTCAATATCCTTATCTAAAGCAGGCCACCACAAGTGGCTGCGTGCAAGAGCCTTCATACGAACAATGCCAGGATGACCCTCGTGGAGGGATTCTAAGACCCTAGTCCTCAT